AAACCACAATGTCATACATTTTTTTTTAATTTTCAATTCCAAACAATTATGAAACAATTTTATAAAGTTAGGGAGGGATTTTAAATGAGTGTGTGTGTGTGTGTGTGTGTGTGTGTGTGTGTGTGTGTGTGAGTGAGTGTGTGTGTGTGCGCGCGCGCACGTGTCTGTGCGTGCGCACGCGCGTTGCCTTACGTTTATCAGACGCGCCCTTCTGCTACTGAATTGCGCGAACAAGCCGTCGAACTTCCTTTGATGTACCTGAGGAATCGGTGAGATGAAAAGGCACACCTACTGCCTGTCTGATTTACGTGGATAAAGTTTTATGATGCAAATAAATTTTAGGATGTTTGCCCATTTGCCTCATTTGTGTGCGTGTGCATGTGCGCGTGTGTGCCTGAGTGAATATTTACACAGTGATGAAGTGTACACTTGTAAATCTCATTCATCTATCAATATCAGTTTGTTTCTGTCTATCTATCTATCTATCTATCTATCTATCTATCTATCTATCTATCTATCTATCTGTCAGTTCGTATCTATCTATCTATCTCTATATATATTAGTTCATATATATCTATCTTAATTCATATCTATTTATCTAAGTTCATATCTATCTATCTATCAGTTCGTATCTATCTATCTATCTCTATATATATTAGTTCATATATATCTATCTTAATTCATATCTATTTATCTAAGTTCATATCTATCTATCTATCTATCTGTCAGTTCGTATCTATCTATCTATCTCTATATATATTAGTTCATATATATCTATCTTAATTCATATCTAGTTATCTAAGTTCATATCTATCTATCTATCTATCTCTATATATATTAGTTCATATATATATCTATCTATCTTAATTCATATCTATTTATCTAAGTTCATATCTATCTATCTATCTATCTCAATAGAGCTATTTTATATCTGAATAGTTATCCTTTTCTATCATAATTTTATTATTTTCCCCTCAATCTATTAATTTCTCTAAACTTCTTGTTTTCTATCTTGCTTGTTTGTATACCCTCCACAATATATATAATCTACATATCGCAAATATGGGGTGCGCAGGACATTTCTCGGCCCTGCTTACTTCCCAAAATCTGATGAAATATCCTTTTTTGCTATGGTGAAAAGGCTTCTTTTCAGTAGTTCCTATATAAATGTTCAATACTCCTCATAGGATGTTTGCTTGGAGTATTTTTTACTAATGTCCGCCCAACGCAAAGCGCCAAGCGTTTAATGAATAGCGTGCGTGGTGTAAAAGTAAGTGTAGGAAGTAGAAAGTGACGACTGGGAGAGAATGGTGGATAGACAAGATATGGCAGCCATTTTTAATCTAACCTGGATCTTGTTAAGACAGAGCAAAACAGTAATTTCTGGAGCGGTGCAATGAGCCAACTATTTTTCCAACATCTTTAACAGTAGCTCGTACATATATATATATATATATATATATATATATATATATATATATATATATATATATATATATATATATGTTGGAGGGAGGCCCGGTGGTTAGATGGAGAATTTTGCGGAGTGTAGGGGCTGGTGGGCTGTGTCGAGGAGGGAAGGTTAGCTGTTGCGTCGTGTAGGGTCGAGAAAGCGCGAATTTGTAAACAGTGACTGCTACTGCTGATAATGCAAAGCTCTTGTATGAATCGAGCACTCTGTGTCACTATTGTATTTATTCAAAATAAATACGTAAAAATCTACCTTCCTCTTTGCCGAGATCCGATAGCCTAGGGTAAAATTCTCCGACTCATTCCAAATCAGTCGGTTTCGATCCTAGCTTGAGGCAATCGGATGTCTAGCCATATTAATGAGCTGCGAAACAATCTGTCTGTGGATGATAATATATATATATATATATATATATATATATATATATATGATAAAATATACTTTTAATGTTTGCTATATTTATGGGTTGTAGTGCTCAATATGAGGGACAGAGTGTATTTAAATATAAACGTGAACATTGAAGTCAACACCCAGTGTTGACAATCTGTTTCATGCTAAACGCAATCGCCAGGCCATGTTTCAAATAAAAATCTTTAAATTCATGAAGTTTTTGTGTTACTTTAAATTCAATATAAATTAAAATTTTAAAAGATTTTAATCACTATTTTTTTTCAGTTATTTTAAAATTTAAATTTTCAACTGTTCCCTCGTTATCCGGATCGAAATCCCAGTACTGGATGTTCAAGCACTGGGTGAAGATCACATTTTCAATTCCGGGATCATCCCGATTCCAAAAACCTATAATATTTCTATGTAGAGCAAGTGTGGCTCGAGGTAGTGGGTTTTCAGACACAGAAACGGATATACAGAATTTGCCGTCTATTTATTTAGATATACATGTATGCTGTAAAATGGTATTAGGGAAATCGTTGTAAATGAAGCAGTTCAACAGTTACAATCATTTCAGAAATTGTTTACTTCATGATTGATTGATTTGTTTTTTACGGCTTAGCAACCTTGTGCACGTTATTCAAAGCCAAGAAATATGTTCAGATTATAAGAATTTTTTTAGGGGTAGAAAAAATAATAATGAATTACTGAACTGCTAATGATTTACAAGACCTACTAATTAACCCACCAATGGTGGGGAAGAAGAGGGGGATTCTTACCTTTCTCAAGGGTATTTGCGCATAAGTAAATATAACGGACCCGACTGGAATTTGAATTTGTCTCTCCGATTTAAATTTCTGAGCCGTTCTCCATTACACCACCCGCACATCCAAGCCTGGTAAGCCGCTTTTTTTATTCCATATTAGCAACCATACCCAGCTGCTCGATCAGAAAATAGCGTTCAATTAGAATGGAACAAAAGCAGCATCATGTTTAGATGTAACAGAGTCTATCTACTTCAATTACTATAAAGTACTTTCATTAAAAAAAACATTTTGAATTAATGCAGTTACTGATATAATAGAAGTCGTCTGTATTTATTCAATCGAATTTAGCCGAGGACATGAAAGGGTAAAACAGACAACACGAAAACACACTTCAGATCACATATATTTTGAAAACACACTTCAGATCACATAGTTTTTGAAATTCAATTTGTCATTGTGCTATCAGGGATGTAAAAGAGGATACATTCATAAAGCAATTGTTAAGTTTGATGAAAATTGGTTGAAAGATCAATGAAAAATAAGAAAGAAGCCAGTAAAAATCGGCATTTTTCGCTATTTACGCGGATTTTTCACCATATGGGTGAACGCAGTTATCAAGTTAAATGACTGTTAAACAATCATCTTATTGTTGGCTTCAACCGAGTGAAGTTTGTATTAGATTGCTTGAAAAGTGAGGGAGTTTTTTGTTTAAAATTTGTGTTGAAATCGATTTTTCGTTTTTCGCAGTTTTCGCTAAACGCAGTGACGTAGAAATAAAAGTGAGGTATCGTTGAGCTCGTCATGATATACGTAATTTACATACCGAATTTGAACGAAATCGGAGGAAAAAGTTGAATTTGTCGATTTTTGATCGACTCTTACGATTATTGATTTTCTTTTAAATTATCGATTTTTACGCTAAGAATTGTACAATGTATGTGCCAAGTTTGGTCAAAATCGGTTGGATCTCGATTGAAAACAAACAGACAGACAGATATCCTCTGTTTTATATATATATATATATATATATATATATATATATATATATATATTTATTTATATTTATATATATATATATATATATATATATATATATATATATATATATATATATATATATATAACTGTGGCATATAGGCGTCGAGGTAGCGCGATAGCATTTTAATCAAATAGTTACAAATTTTAGTCCGAGAAAAATGTTAAAGGGACGCAGTGAAGAAATTACAGAGTATTTCTCGTATTAAATAAAGCGTGAAAAATTATATTTCTTTCAAGTATTTTTTTGTTATTCATGAAAGTCTCCTCATTCGCTTTTAACGATAATATTTCTCTATTAAATAAACTTAATGAATAAACAAATAGCTTCATTATTAAACAAAACAATTTGATTAACTTTATTATTTTTATTAAAAAAGTATTTTGTTAAAATGAAATGAAAATGAATTATTTATAATAATAATAATAATAATAATATCTTATATTTATTATTATTATTATTGTTGTTGTTGTTGTTGTTGTTGTTGTTGTCGTTGTGAAAAACATATTTCATTAAAATAAAATCAAAATCAATTAAAAAATGTCAGGAGTGAATATTGGAGGGGTATCGCCATTATACAAGAATTGTTAAGTTGAGCAGGCCATAAAATATATACTGGTAGATTTAAAAAAAAAAAAAAAACAACACACATTTGATGACACAGTTTTCACGTAATATATACACATAAACAGAAACCTTATATACAAAGTCCGGAATGTCAAAGTTATTTTTGTGACACATTTCCAATTAAGAAAATTAACTAAAGTATTAAAATGCATTAATCGAGCTCATACCTCTGACAACGTCATTGTCAATAAAACTATTTACAAGGGAGGTAACTATAAAAATTTACGTATTACTACATTTTTTTTTTCAAGAAATTGTTGTAAGCTTGTAAATACATCAGCAGGTAGGGTAATTGAGCATGGATAAGACCCAAAATTTAACCACTACCTTCATCACCTATGATCAAGTGTTTTGCAAAATGTTATTAAAATTAATTAAGAACGTTTTGAGATATCTATATTACCTAATTGGAGTAATGTTGGAAGCATACGGAGTAATTTTCCTTTATATGACAATCACTCATCAAACCCTGTATAAACAAATGCCACAAAATTTTTAGATTGTAAGAAATTTGGTGGGGAGATAATAATTATTTAATGATAGAAGTCTTACTAATTAACCTATAGCAGGGGAAAGAAGAAGTGAATTCATACCTTTCTTAAGTGTGTTTGCGCGTAAGTGAATATAATGAAGCTAACTGGAATTGGAACTTGGCTCTCCGGTTAACAATTCCGAGCCATTATTCATTGCACCACCAGCACATCCAAACTTACTGCACATGGTATTCCCAAGCGGTCATCCATCAAGGTACTGACCAGACTTGATGTTGCTTAACTTCGGTGATAGTACGGAAACCTGTGTTTCAACGTGATGTGGCCGTAAACCAAAATCACAAAATGATTTAACAAATAACAAAAAACGTAATTTGCTAACAGCAAAAATGGACTGCACATATAGTAGCAGGGAAAATAATGATATAGTCAATATTTTGTATTTCTACACTAACTTAAAAAAAAGGTTATAAAGGAAACTCCCATCAATACTAGAAATTGAAGACTGCGAACAGCAAAGATGGACAGCACAGATATAACATGAGTGAAAATAATGATATAATCAATATGTTGAATTTCCACTTAATGTTAGGACGGGCAGACGTCGTAACAAAGGAAGTTAACTTGCTCCCTAGATGGGAAACCAATTATATCCCTTGATCAGAACTCTCGAGATCACAGGAAAGGGGACTTCAAGATGGCTGCCGCGCATTCCCTCATGATCCCTTTCGGAAACGCTTCATCAACCAGTAATCCACTGGTCATGTTTACATTTATTGTTTACTAATAGTGAATAAGATGTATAAAAGTTCGAGTTGCGTGTCCGTTTTTAATTGACAGACACAATACTGGTGACGAGGATTTTTACAAGTGCTCCACGGCGTGCGGCAATAGCAAATTGACTTTACCTGAAAGAATCAACATGGCAATCTCCCCAGAAGTCCTGAAATACATATTACGTCAACAGCAGGATGACAATATAGCAGCTTCAGTTTCGAATTTCCCATCGAGCCAACATCAAAAAATACGTTTGACGCATGATTCAAACGTTGAAAGGACACATTCTAACATGAAGGATGTTGCTTGTAAATCCCATCTTTTGACGAGTGATCTCTGTATTAAGGAACACAAGCTTTTTACTAATTTTATATTGACCAAACAGGCTAAAGATTTAAAATTTTTGGAAAACAATTAAACAGTTAATATACATATTCGGTGAATCACTTTGCTTGTTTAATGTTAGATATAATTATCTGAAGTTTAATAAGCGAGATGTAGACGAGATGCCACGTTTGTGGGTATTGCTAACCATGAACGCGAGAAATTTCAGCTGAATTCGTTCACAGAGGACCAGTTTAAATGCCACATTTTTATTAATTTAATCCGCAAACGATGCCGATATTCGGACACTGTTGTTGACTAAACTCGATCAAGGCAAAGACATAACTAAAAGCGCTGACGATCGAATGTCAACGTTTGATCAACCTCAAGCAGGACACACTTATGGTACAACAGTCTGCTAACCCATCTGTTAGCGGCAATGTTCGAGCGGGAAGAACATCTCCAACTCCAAATAAAAACAACCGCCTACACATTGTTGGTTGTGCGGTGAACACGTTATTGTCCAATCAAAAAACATATATGCAAATTTTGTTCGTACTGCAGACACAAGGTCGGATTTTATGGCCCCAAGAGACACAAAACTGTAACGGCAAAAAAGAATGCCTCAAATTCATGAAACAGACATAACCAGAAAGAAACGCTTTAGAGTTAGAAGTCTAACGCAAATTCAGTTTTCAAAACGTTCAAAGTGGATACATAACTGTTTGCATTGACAACTGACCTACAAGATTCCGGTTGGATACTACGTCTGATATCCAACTCATATCACATTTGACGTGAGAATTACTGGGAAAACCCACCTTGACAAGCACAATACATGTTGCTCGTAAGTGTATCAGGTAACGCGATCTGAGTTGAATTTTGATGTCGCCTCCAAAAAACAGTTTTCGTGAATGTGTTATATCACCGATTCATACAACCTAAGCCTCGTTGTACTGGATTTTATTGAAGTACTGGACATTTTCAATGTCTCCTTAAAATCTGTGTTCAATGCATTTCAAATTACATCCGCAGCAGAAACTGAAAGGAATTTCACAGACATACTCCAAACCAAGTTCAGTAAAGTTTTTCGAGGAATGTTGCGCTAAGGTGAAGACTACCGGCACACTGAACACAGATGCCAAACCAATTTTAGACCAAAGCGTCCTGTGCCGTATCCGCGGCATTAGACACAGTGGAAAATGAACTAGACCGCCTTCGACAAGCAAGAGTAATCTAATCCGCAAATTACTCATCGTGAACATTTCCCATTGTCATTGTCAAAAGGGCCAATGGCAAAATAACTCTATGTGCAGATTTTTCCACGGGATTAAATGATGCATTTGATACACATCAGTATTCATTATCGATCCCAGAAGACTTCAATGGTGGAACTTGTTTTGCAAAAATTGACCTTGAAGACGCTTCCTTACAAATGGAATTTGATGAGGAATCCAAGAATCTTTTCACTTTTATCATCACCCAAAAGAGTCTATTTCAATTCAAGAGCCTTCCATTTGGGTCCTAGAGACCTCCATCATTCTTCCAACAAACAATGTATGCTATACTTACAGGATTGACAAGAGTCGATGCCTATATTGATGACATCATTGTCAAAGGTACAACCCAGGAGGACCTCCTACAACGTCTAATTTGTGTACTAGATTTGATCCAACAATATGGGTTTCGCCTAAAGGCTGACAAATTTCCATTCTTCCAACTATCAATAGAATATTTCGAATTAATTTTGGAAAAAATGGTCGGAGACCAGACAGAAAATATACAATGCTATAACGCATATGACAGCACCAACGGATGTTGAAACACTAAGTACTTTTCTGTGTCTCATAAGCTACCACAGTACATTTTATACAGAAATGCACCGCGTACGCGGTCCCCTAAACAATCTTTTGAAAAAAAAAAGATGCTCAATGGAATTGGTCACCTGAATACAAATTGACATATAATATCCCTTTTGAGTTCGGAACTACTTCTCATACACCCCAATCCATCCTTGGATATCGTTGTTATTTCTGATGCTTCAAATTATGGCACTTTTCTGTAATTTCACGTATCTTTCCGGGTGGAACCAAAAAGCAATTGCACACACATCCAGAACATTTACACCCACAGATTGCAATTAAAATCAACTTGAAAAAGAAGTTTTGGCAATTGTCTTTGCCGTAGAAAAAATCCATAATATTCTATATGGATGCCACATTAGCCTGATCACAGTCCCAGTCTACACAGCCAACCGCCTACAACAACAGGATATGATGCTTTTGGACGATAATTTTTCCATCAAATATCAGTCAAGCAACAATACTGGCCAAACAGATGCATTATCCAGACTCATCTCTTCACATCGGAAGCTACCGGAGAATAGTTGTTGTTACTGTATCTGTGGGGTCAGAAGCAGTCTCGGCACTTGTATCCGCAGTCAGAGCACTACTAGTTACATCAGGAATAATCCGGGTAGCTACAGACTCAGATCCATAGCAACAGAAAGTCCTGCGCTTTCACTGTACTGGCTTGAATTGGAACGCCTACATCGAATCAATAGCTGCATCTACTGCAAGAAAATTTGAGTTACTGTGTCGTGCCAGAAGGTTTTTCACGTCTTGCAGATTTCAAATCTACCATTCGTTCGTGGATTGAATACTGTTGCAGTATCTGATCAGGTTTTCCTGCTACTCATCTCGAGGTTCTTGACAATATCCAAAGAATCTGCAATGTAATCGATCCTTCCTTGGCATCTCACCGATATTTTCATGGCTACTGCTCTGACGAGCTGTTTGTCTCTGTTGCCCAGACCACGTGTGTTTAAGCATCCTACTTGATTGGCATTTAGGTCCCAATCTTTTACTGTAGAATAAGATAAATATAGCCGCCACTTCTCAGTTTTTCTCGCACTTCCCGCTCGTGGAACTCTATTCCATTTACTTACTTCGCTGATAACTATAATCTTCAAAAAAATAAAAGCAATATCAATCGCCATCTTTTATCTTCTTGAAACCCGTTCAGTTTTTATCCTTTCCTCGCCCTCCCATAAACAGTCTTCTCTCACCTTCACTCTCTGTAACTCTCTGCGTATTAATGGCATCCCCGCCTCGCTCGAAGTGATATGATAAACAAACTGATCAACAGTATCTGTTGACAAGCTGTTCCAACAATTCTTCCAACGTAGATCTTCCTTGTTTAATGAAACCATTCTGTTCGGCGAACGCATCATTGTACCACTAAAACTACGAAACAGATTTCTCAAACAATTTCATTAAAATTTCATTCAAAATTTTCAAGTGAAAACCAATAAACAACCAAAAGACTCAAGAAAATGGAGGACAAATCGTAAACAAAAACAAACCACATCTCTACATGTATATCCTCGTCAAACATCCGATAAGTATCACGTTTCAAGTGGGGTCTTAGGAAGGAAGTCATCACAAAGTGAGTTAACTTGATCCACAGATGGGAATCAAATTATGCCCCTTGATCAAAACTCTCCAGAATACAAGAAAGGGTATTTCAATTCATTCCCTCATGTTTCCTCTCGGACACTCTTAATCCACCAGGAATCCACTGGACATGTTTACATCTATAGTTTTTTACCAATAGTGAATGAAATATATAAAAGTTCGAGTTGCGCATTCGTTCTTGTTTGGCACAAATGAATACAACCACGGACACGATACTTAAAGGTTAGAAAGAAAATGTTAATCAATACTAGAAATTGAAGACTCCAACAGCAAAAATGGGTAGCATATATAACTAGAAGTGAAAATAATCGTATAGTCAATATGTTGGCTTTCCACGCTAACTTAAATAAAAAGTCTCAGTAGAAACCTTCATCAATATTAGAAAGAGCGATAACAGTGGACTCGAAATATCTAATCAACCCCCACCCGTAAAAAAAAAAAAAAAAAAAAACTTCTAAGAAAAATATTTATAAAACTAACTGCTCGGTCAATGAATGTCGAAAGTTTCCTGTATGAAAACCGTTAATTTCATTATTAACATATTACTAGTTTTTAAACATATCTTTTATATGAGAAACGAATCATTTGTTGTGTATATGAATTATAAGACATAATACTTACTACTACTTAGGTTTACAAATATTATATTTTACTTACTTACAATAATATACATATACTTAATTAGTTCTTGTACAAATGGTATTCTGGAAGTCATGGTTAATTAATATTTTCATTAGTATATGAACCTTTCATG